AAAGAGAGTGGGGAGCAGAATGCAGATCTACTGAAATACACTGCTGAGGGGAGCCCTGGGCAAGGCAGGTGACATCTGCTGCACCATGTGGGTTGCTCCCTGGCCAGCCACTTATGTTGCAGTGGCTGGTGATAAGTTCATAGCACTGTCTTGAACTCCTGTGCCACCAGGGAGGCCCCTTGACAACAGAGTCTCTCTTGAGCATGTGAAGGAAAAAGAGCAGGCACAGAGGAGAGAAACAGTCCCTTGGACTTGTTTGCAAGGAGGACACAAGAAATTGAGATGTTCCTCTGAAAACAGGATTGTTCGTCTAGCTGACACCTGAGGTTTTCTAAGACAGGCTTAGAGTGATGATAGTAATGTTTTTGAGATTTAATTCATACTCAATCCATGGAAACATCGTCATAATAAGCATACCTGATACCAAAGGCCAGCTGAAGAGTTTCTTAAAAAAATTGCTTCTAGGTAGGCTGCCAAGTCATGGTGTAAGTTGTCAAAAGAGTGATATAGAAGCCAGAAGAATAAATGTGTGCATTTACATTACTTGGAAGAAAGCATGTAAGAGACCAGGAGAAAAAAAAAAAAAGGTAGAAGATTCACTTGTAGGAAAGAGCCAGATTGTCTAACCAAATAACACACTTTAGGATTCATGCAAGCTTTTTAAGTGATCCCAGCCTGTCTCCTACCTCTGCCACAAAATCTGTCATATTCTTGACTCTGGCCAAAGCAGTCTCTCTGACATTACACTTCTTCTACTGTGTAATGTGAACAATATGAAGAATACCTTCTTTCCCACTGGGAATCCTATGAGTTAATTACAAGTTTTTAATGGACAACAAATATGTTTTAAATGTGTTTTTTTAGGATTGTTCTTATGTAAAATATTTTTTCTCTTTTAAAATAATTTTTCTTGTTTTAATGTTGGTTTATAAGCATCATGTATGTTTTAGGAGGGTAGCTTCGCACTTCAATAGATCATGAGTCCCATTGCACCCACCCCCATAGTCCTAGTTGCAGTCCCAGTGCCAGAGGGACCCCTCTATTCTCTGCTCTCACCTCTTTCCTCTTCCCCTCTGATAACCAGCTTATATTTATGTGACCCAGGACTTACCCTGTGTTTTGTTTAGCACGTTGGTTCTGCTTACTGATATTCCACAAGAAAAAACCATCTACTAATTGCCCCCCACTTTTTAAATTATTTTGTTTAGCATAGTAAGTGCCAAGGCAAGATTGTGGGTGACAAGGCAAGATTTCATCTTTTTTTTTTTTTTTTTTTTTTTTTTTTATAGCTGAGAAGTACTCGACTGAGTACATGAACCGTTTTTCTGTCCAGTTCTATGTTGATGGCATAGATCATTTCCATGTCTTGGCTAGTGAAATAATGCTGCCATGAGCATAGGGGTGCATATATCTTTTTTAACTGTTGTTTTCATATTTTTAGATAAATTCCTAAGAGTGGTATTGCTGGATCATAGGGTATTTCTATGTTTCTGTTTTGTAAGGAGTTTCTATACCTTTTCTGTAGACCTGCGCCAGTTTTCACTCCTTCCCAATGAATTTGAGTGCTCCTTTGCCTCCACATCCTCACCAGCACTTGCTGTTTCCAGTCTTCGTGATATGAGCCATTCTTGCAGCTGTGAGGTATAATTTCATTATGGTTCTCTTTGAGACATTGTTCTGATCCTCAGTTTATGGATTAAGTAAGAACTTCGAAAAATGACTTTAACTGTTTCAATAATAGCACTACCTTTTTGTTGCTGTTCTTTCAACCCTAAGGTGACTTCTAAACAAGAATCAGACAACAAAAGAGAAATGCATATTAGAAAAGCAGATGCAAAATCAAATCCCTCAAAGTCCAGGAAGGCAATCTGAATGAGAGAAGTCACCGGATGGGGAGCATGCCACAATGAAAAGTGTATTGCCTATCTTAAGGGAAAAGACCCAGTGAAACTGGCATTCAGGAAAGTAGGTTCAGTCTTAGTCTGGTCTGTCAATGGAAGCCTTGCTGGAATTATTACCTGTACCTTAAAAGTTAGTGACCAATTCAAATATTTAGCTACTTGGTGGGATGTACAGAAAATATGGAACTAATGTATATGTGTGTAGGCGCACAGGTGTATATGCCTGTGACCGCAGGAAGGAAGATGACAAACCACACGAATCCAAAACAAATGGAGACTTCCAAATCCATTAAGGGTTTTGGGTTTCTGGGAAGCTATCAGTAGTCAGAAGCCTGGGGCACTGACATTGGAGCAAGGGCTGTGGGGGCAGGAAGCCGGAAGGATCTCTAAAGACTAGATCTTTCATCTGTATCAGCTGTGCTAAGATATTTGAGCTTGACCCTTAGGACAATGATGTGAAGTCCTGTGAAGGACTTCAAACAGGAATGGCAGAATCAGAACGTCAAAGTCGTTTGAGCTCCCTGATCCCAAAGGGGACTGATCATACAAACATCAGTGAGAAGGTTGCTGGAGAGATCAGGGGAATGGAAATTGCGCCAAGACTATGCTCTGGGTGTAGAAAGAAGTCTTAAGGGGGCAGAGATTATCTGGGAGAGCAAATCCACAAGAATGGGAAGGGAGGAGTAGGGCTGTGAGTGAGAAAAATAGGGAAGATGAGGGATGACAGTGATTGCCTTTCTGCTGAGGGTTCGAGTTTCACAGAAGACTCACACCTCCAACAATTCACATAGTAGGTAATGTCAGAAGAATGTGAGCACTAACAACCTGACCGTGTGTGAGCACCTGGGAAAGGAACATCTTTTTAGAAATTAATCTCCTTAGTCTCATATTGCCTCTCCATGAAGAAAAGGAGCCTCACCTCTAGTTTGTCTCCTTTATAAAGAATTAAAAGCAGTCAGATGAAAACTGAAATTTAGTTCTTTGTGCAATTTAGTTCAGGGTTCATTGTATCATTGTGTTTTGTCAGCATCTGCGATTGAAATGATCCCTTTTGGGATCCTCCTCCTGGAGCTCTGTAAGTCTCAAACCTCAAGGAGTTCATTTCTTCCAAAGAAACCACCCCAGTCATGTTCTTCTCCATTTATAAACTTGGCGACTAAGTCACATGCAAGAAAATGTGTGATAGATCTTGCATTGTTCACCTCTGCTTGAAGAAAAATGCCACTAACGAGGTCTATGAAGAATTATTCAAATCCACCACAGGGAGTGACTACAAAATAAGAACCAAAAACAAAACAAATCATTTGACTGCATAAATCCTCTCCTCTTTATTCCACACAATATCTAGAAATAAAATAATGGACCTTCCTCTATGATCTGCTAGTGTTTATAATTGATTCATCTTGTGGTTAAAAGAGGATTTACTCACTAAAATTGAAACAGACAGGAGAATGCAGTTTGGGTTTGCCCTCCTGGCTGGCTTGGGTATCACTTATCAGAACTGAAAATACAAAGGAGTTTTATCATTATTTCACAGTAAGAGTCTGGAATGACCCTTTAGGAAATTTTTATCTCAGTTTTTAGACTGTCCTCAGTGACTGCCAAATATCTCCATGGGTCCATGACCTGGTGTGACTCAAGGAGGAAGAGTTCCCTCCCCTACTTGATCCTGTGTGCCCACATTTCTGAGTATTTTCTTGTTCACTATGCCAGGCTGATTGGTTCCAGACATTTTTGGGGTGGACTGCATATTTGTTTATTTAATGTATAGCTTCCTTTCTTGTTTAATGTCTCTATTCAGCCTGAGATAACTCATTTAGCATTCTCATCTCTATCCACCTTGGTAGGAATATATTTTATTATATATGTTATATATTTCATTATCACCAAGAGTTATAAAGGATGCAATTTCAGGACCTAGAAATGAATAATTGAATAAGTTTCAGAAAAATACAGAAAGTAAATGGTAAATGTATCTTGTCATTGATGTTTTCCAACACATTCCTTTCCTCTCCAAGAGTATACCTGGGCATTTCCTCCATTTATCCAGATGTGTGGACTTGGACCCACAGTACTGGCTTTAGAATAAGACTGTTCTTTATGGACAGGTTGGACCTCTGTCTTCTCTGAGAATTAACAGAATTCTCCAATGCCAAATAAATATCTTCTGGTGGCACTTTGCTTAATTTCTTAGCTAGTTGCTTAACACACACATTTTTTTTTTATTATATCGGAGGCATAGGTTAGTAGAATCCTGATTTTTCAGTGGTAATACAACACTGTAGTGCTTTGAACCTATTCTGTTCTAGAATCATTTGCAAGGAGCATGATGAGAATCTCTGAATCCTTCATGATTTAACACTGAGCGGAAAGTTCAGTCATATTTTGTATTCCAGATGCTAATTTGGACTAAGCTATGACCATTAAAAAATATGTATGTCACAGTGAGGGTTCATGAGAAGGGGTAGCTGCGAGTACTGTTTGAGCATGTACATTATTCCAGGGTCTCACCTAAGCCTTATACTCTAATCACATGGAATGAACTATTCGTATTTTACAGATCAAGTAGCTTAGGTGAATCACTAGTCAATATGGCTAATCAAATAGTGCCATGGAGTTTGGAGTCAGTATCGGCCCCTAAAATCTACCTTGTCCCAGTATATTGCACTGTATTACATGATCATTATGAAGCTTTTGCAGCTTTTTAACTCTATGTGCCCAACAACTAGCTTCCAGCTTTGCCCGAAGGAACAGTCCTGTTCTATGCATTTGACTTCTGGCAAATGTCTGCCTTGGATTAACAACGCATCATTTCATTTGCAAGGAATATGACTATTTGAAGTTTCTATCTTAAACATGTTAAGTACAGGATTCTGCACAAGCTATAGTCTTATTTTGTTTATTTTTGGAGAGGAGGTTGGCTTTCCCAACCTGGAAAGACATGTATTTTTTTACAGGCCTTTTGAATTTCTGACTCTCACAGTTAATTTTAATGAAAATTTAACACAGCATAACAGAATAATAATTTATCTCTTACCAACTTTAAAACCGTCAAGCCTATAAAACTGATACTTTTCCCTTTTCTTTTTCACTCCTCAGGGGGAACGTCGTCGAGGCAGAAAGGCTTCCTAGGATGTATACGCTCCTTACATCTGAATGGGCAGAAACTGGACCTGGAGGAGAGGGCAAAGGTCACATCTGGAGTTCGGCCAGGCTGTCCAGGCCACTGCAGCAGTTATGGCAGCACCTGCCACAATGGGGGCAAGTGTGTGGAGAAGCACAGCGGCTACTTCTGTGATTGCACCAACTCCCCGTATGAAGGGCCCTTTTGCAGAAAAGGTACACGTGATGCTTCTGTCTTCCCATGTGCGGTGTAGTGGTGTAGAAGTCATGGTCAGGTCATAGGCGAGCCAGGCCATGAGACAGTCCTCAGGCGGGCATTTCTTGACCCTTGATTTCTCCCTGAGTAGGTATTCCACATATCTCCACATTGTTGCATGCACTTATTATCACCAGGTACACACAAGATCATCTCTCTCCAAGACACTCACTCTCCAGGCGAGCGCTGGCAAAGATGGACTCTCATTTCTCTTGGGTAGATCAGATTCTGAGGATTCATTAATCTTCCCAGTCCAAAATATAATCAAAGAGTCATAGAACCAAGTCTTAGAGGAACCTTAAAAACATGCTAAACAAAGTCATTTTTATAATAGGGAATATATTGCTAAGTTAGTAAAATTAATACTATAAAACTAAAAAAATTTCCCTATTCTATAGGACATGTGAATAGGGTCTGAAGCTTTAAAATCCTACCTTCAAGCTCACATTTAGTTCACCAGGGGCTGAGAATGAAACATAGGGGTCAAAAATCCCTGCCCTTGTGCTTTTATCAATTCATTGTATTGGCAAAAGTTAACCAGGATGGTGCACACAGGACAAAGAGAAATGGCCATGGTGTAAATCTTTAGAGAAATATCAGATGACTCTGCAAGCTAGAATGTCTCATTGTTCAGTGTACTGTGTGTTTTTCTTTTATTTTTTTCTTTTTTTCAAGATTGATTTATTTATGCATACAAGAACTGTGGTACAGGCCAGAAGTGTGGGGGTTGAGGGGGGATTCTCCAGAGACAGAGTGCGGAACAGAACAGGCAGACTGACTGAAATACACTGCTGAGGGGAGCAGAGGGCGAGGCAGGAGAGGTCTGCTACACCATGTGGGCAGCTCCCTGGCCGGGGATCAAACTCATGCTGCAGTGACTGCAGATTGCTTCGTAGGTTGCATCTTAACCCCTTGTGCCACCAGGGAGGCCCTCTTTCCTTTTTTTGTGTTTTACTCTACCACTTGCAAGTAGTATTGCTTTATGAAGTAATTAACTCTCCTGAATCTCAGTTTTATTAACCGTAAATGGGAAAAACAAGGGTTCAGTATATTTTTTTCTTCCCATCCACCCATGCCCATACCCCATCTCTTCCATGCCCCATCCCCTCCACCCTGTTCCCTATGCCCTCTGTTTACCATTATCTTCTTTATTTTACCAAGTTCAAACTTTTGTTTCTTTTATTGTTTGCAATTAATTTTTTTTGTATTTATATTATACAGATAAGTGAAACCATTTGACTGTCTTTCACATTTTGGATGATTTCACTCAACATAATCACTTCAAGTTCTATCCAGTCTGTGTCAGATGTCTGGAGAAGGACAAAAGATTTGGTTTACTATTATCAGACATTTTAACTTTATGTTACTGATGAGAAAAAAAAAATGTTTGTTACCAAATAATGTAAATAATATTTCAAAGGATACATTTAAACTATTAAAATAAAATATTTTAATCACTTTGAAACAGCATTTACACACAAACAATGATGGCAATTATAGAGAATTATTGTCAACTAATTAAAATACATTTCCCAAGGCCCGCTTTTGAACAATGCTCTCTGCAGTCCAACTTGAACTTAAAAATTATAGATGATAGGGAACAACCAGTGTTGTCTTTGAAGAACTCTATAATTTAAACTCTGCTCATTTACATCAGTCTTCTTCCCAATTACTTTGAATAACTTGCTTATTATTGCTGGAACCATCATGTTCCTTGTGAGAAAAATAATGATACAAATTTTAGGAGCAACTATGTGTTAGGCCCTGCCTGGGAGCTTGAAATAAAGCAGATCCCATCCCAGTAGGGTTGCAATGTGAACTAAGATAACTAAAGTGCTGCTAAATTTTTCACCCTGCAAGAAATCGGAAACAATGGGCTTTCCTGGTGGGCACAGGGATTAAGTCTCAGCACTATGAAGCAATTGACAGCCTCTGCAGCATGAGTTCGATCTCCAGTCAGGGAGCTAACCCGCATGGCGCAGCAGTCCTCTCCTGTCTCCCCGCTGCTCCCCTCAGCAGTGTATTTCAGGGAATCTGCCTGTTCTGCTCCCCACTCTGTCTCTGGTGAATCCCCCCTCCCCTACCCCCATACTTTTGGCCTTGCATGCATAAATAAACAAAATAAATCTTTTTTTAAAAATCTGAAAAAATTCCCCTGGAAAATTGGAATATCACCCATAGACTGATCTAGAAAAAATGTAAATACAGGAAATATTACCTGTTTCAGTCACTACAGTACACAAGCATTTTTTTTACAGGATCAATACCCATGTCTACAGTGGAGGGGAAAAAAAGAACAGTAGAAATGTTCTTTGCATTTCCACAGGGACATTATTCAAACATTTCATAGTTCGTATTATTCTAAATTTAGACTATTTTTTCAATGGCTTCTTTCTCGGAAACAGTTCCTATTAATTGCTCTGTGTCCTGCCACTGTGTTTTTGATTGCATATACTGAAAATTTCCTTTGCTCTCTCTCCACTTTTTATTTTGATCTAACGGAGAATTACACATATATGTGTTTAGACTTTTCAGCCTGTTTTTCATTTCACTGTTTACAAACTTTCCCCCATTCTCATAATTCTAAGGAAATGACTCCCTTTAATATTCAGCAATTGCACAATATGTAATGTAAGTTTTTTTCATCTGCTTTATATATATTATTTTTTTGAGGAAACGTTAGTTGATGAGCTTGTAACCAAGCCTTTTAGCTGTACCAAATGTTTCCAGGAGATGTGGCTTGGAACTGAAATGGGAGTAATAAGATAAAAGACGATTCTAAGCAAAGGTGTTCTCTATTGAGGTATCTTCGGTACTAACAATATGGCAGGTGGATTTAACATGTAAATCTTGGAAATATCTGGAGTGGAATAAGGGACAATTCCTATTACCAATGCCTGAGCCCGAATCATGTTGCACTGATGACTTTCTGTTTCTGAAACGCCTTCTTTTACAACCTGGACAGACTTCTAAAAAATATGTTAAATCTCTAAAACAAATGGCCCCAAATGATTACATTTATATGGAATCTTTAGAGTAAGCAAATCTTTAGTCACCAAAGTAGATTTGTGACTTCCAGGGACTGGGGGCAAAAGTGAGTTTGGAATAGTTGAGCATGAATATGAGCTTTCTGAAATTAGATAGTGGTGAAAGCTGTACAACTTTGTTAGTATGTTAAAAAACAAACAAACACAGAATTAGGCCTCCCTGGTGGCACAGGCGGGTGAGCACCACACTGTGAAGCTGTCCGCAGCCTCTGCAGTGTGGGTTCGATCCCAGCTGGCCAGGAAGACATCTACATGGCACAGCAGACCTCTCCTGTCTCACCCGCTGCTCCCCTCGGCAGTATATTTCTTCAGTCTGCCTCTTCCATTCCCTGCTCTGTCTCTGGTGAATCCTGTCACTCTCCCACACATCTAGCCTATACCCCGGTTCTTGTATAAAAATAAATAAATCTTAAAAACAAAAACAAAAACACAGAGTTGCATATTTTAAAAGTTGGTAGGCTTTTATGGTTAAAATTGCATGTTGATAAGGGCTTGCCCTAGTGGCGCAGGCAGTTGAGCACCGCACTGTGAAGCTGTCCACAGCCTCTGGAGCACCGGTTCAATCCCGGCCTGCCCGCGAGGGTCTCACATGACATGGCAGACCTCTCCTGTCTCTCCTGCTGCTCCCCTCAGCAATGTATTTCCGTCAGGCTGCCAGTTCTGTTCCCTGCTCTGTCTCTGGTGGATCCTCTCACTCGCCACACCTCTGGCCTCTACCCCAGTACTTGTATAAATAAATAAAAATAAATCTTAAAAACAAAAAAAAAAAAACAAAGCAGTTTAGCATAACTTAAAAAAATTGCATGTTGATAATAAAAAAATAATCATACAAAATAAAAATGACATATTTGAATTCTGCTGCCGCATCCATGTAGAGAATGAAGTAGGGTCACAGAGGGAAAAAGGAAATCAAAAGGATTTTGGATGGCTCTCCAACCCTGACATTTATTGGCAAGTCACTAAACCTCTGTGAACTTCAATGTTCTCTTATGTTAAATTCAGGTATTGATATCTTTTCCACTTGACTGGGGATAAGGAATACATGTTATAGTTGGTAATTACTACCTAATTTTATGATTAATATTTCTTTGTGCCATGGAGACATCCAACTCTGAGAATTATTGTCTCTGTCACTCACACATCACACCCTAGGCTACCTTCAACTGGGTCTACTTTTTCTTTAAATGTGTGTCTTGTCTTCTCAGAATCTGTTCAGTACAGTTGCCTCCACTATCTGAGATGCTCAAGAGATGTTGCTAATATAGGTGTGTGGCCTGCATAGCCTGAAGGTCATTAAGAATCACCTTCAGGGCCTCCCCTGGTGGCACAGTGGTTGAGCGCTGGGCTGCGAAGCTGCCTGCAGCCTCTGCAGCGCTGGTTCGATCCCCGGCCACCGGTGAGGGTCCCACATGGCACACAGACCTCTCCTGCCTCCCGCTGCTCCCCTCAGCAGTGTACTTCAGTCCTTCTGCCTGTTCTGCTCCCCGCTCTAGCTCTGGTGAATTCTCTCACCCTCCCGCGCTTCTGACTGTACCCAGTGCTTGTATAAATAAATAAATAAATAAATCTTAAAAAAAAAAAAAGAATCACCTTCACGTAAAAGTTTCTCTTACATTTACCTAAAGGTTTTAGATGTTCAAACAATTCAATCAGAGAGTTTAAATATGAGCAGAGTGCTTAAAATCTTAGATTATAAAACATAAGAAACCAAGACTAGTAGAATCCAAGTGTTGCTAAATTTCAATTTATGTTGAAATGGACAATATCTAAAAAGAATAAAAGCAATTTGGACTGGAACCAGGATAGAAGGGAGGACAAAAATCTGGTAAGACATTTCTAATCTAAAAATGTTGTTTGTTTAATTTCCTTTTTTAAGTGTAAAGGAAAAAGTAATAATATATTATATATTATGTATTTTATATATATACATGTATCCACATCTAGTATGCTATTCATACTAGAATGTCCTGAATTATACTTACATTTGAACACATATTCATGAACATCAAATAGCGATCATTTTTCTTTTAACTAGGAGATAGTAGCTCAAAATTCAGGCCAAATGTCCCCAAGGAAACTTACTAAAGGAAGGTACTTAGATCAAACTGATGATTAACCGGAATCCTCACTGTCACATGTCTCTGCTGCATATCTTTGTAATCAGGAGCACTGATGTTGTAACCTGAATGATAAATGCAAAACACTTTCTCTGAACCTTTAGTAAAAATGAACCGGTATTCCCAATCTGCTAAGCAGTATGTATAAATATGCACGTTTAATTTTTTGGCACCATTACAGGTTGTTAAGGAATTTTGACAAAGGTAGAACACATTTGCAATAGAATTAGGAAGTAAAAAGCCAGGTTTGATTATGTTCTAGATACCACCAACTCAATCAGAGAATTTCATGGGGATTTCAGAAAATTCCACATATCATTCAGGAAAGAGAGAAATTAATCATGCAAATATGGTTTCATGTTGATTGTGCTGTTTTCAGGACAGAGGTTTGCTATGCTAGGAACCTTTCTTCCATCTTCCGTTATCAGAGATAAAATTGAAAATTAAGAACAGTCTTAATTGAAAGTAGAGAATATCTCCACATTTGGATGGGTGTGCAGATATATTTTATGAAGAAAAATAAATATATAAACATGCAAATGATAGATATAAATGCATATTTAAATAATATATACATATATTAAAAAAAATAGAACCAGTGAAAGCTAGTCTAGGGGGTGATGCCTGAGTGACAGAGACAGTGATTCCCAGAGTTGGCTGTCTCCATACTACAAAGGAATATTAATATATATATTTATTTATTTATTTATTTATATGCCTTTTACATCATTCTTCATTTTTGTGCATTTTCTCCTCTCAGGTGTAGTCCCCACAAAATTCCCACCACCAGTATTACCCACGAACCATCACCATGGTCCCTTGTGCTCTTCCCTCCCTGTCTTGATCCCTTTCCCGCCCTCCCCTGCAATTTTTTTAATTTATTATAGTTATTTTCCTTATCCTTTATTTGGTTTCCCTATTTCCTCCTATAAGTGAAACCATCTGATATTTTCTTTTTCTTTCTGGCTTATTTCACTGAGCATGATCCCTTCCAGCTCCATCTATGTTGCTGCAAATGGCATGAGTTTATCTTTTTTGATTGCTGAGTAATATAAAGGAATATTAGTCTTAAAGTTAGGTAGTAATGACTGACTATAACATATATTCCTTATCCTCAGTTCACTAGGAAAGATATTAATACCTAACCTTAACATAAGAGAACGTTGAAGTAACATAAAAGAACATTAAAGTGAAATAAGTTCAGGTTAAAGATTCTCCTAACATGGACAGTCTATGGGGTCAAACTTTGTAGCTACCTCTTACATGCTTTGCACACATCATGTCATTTATCTACACAGAAACACTGTTGAGGTAAATTTTCCCTTCACCAGATGAGAAAACAAGACTCTCCACAGGACTGACTATCTTTCCTGGAATCACAAAACTAGAATGAAATCCAGTGAGGCTTCAGATCAGTGCTGCAGCCAAAACTTGTGTGAGTTCCCCACAGTAAAATGATAACTGTTGCAGTGAGAGCAGCATGGAAGGAGTGTTGTGTGATTTGCAGGCTCTTGCTAGTCAGTTTGTAGATGGTACATTCCCCACGCAGGCGGCGAAACTGTGGCCAATGCACTGTGCTACAGGAACCGTTTCCATAGGAAAACCTATTTGTTTAACTCTTTTTTTAAAAAAAGATTTTTTTTTTTTATTTAAACAAGAGCTGGGGTACAGGCCAAATGCACGGGAGGATGAGAGGATTCACCAAAGACAGAGAGGGGAGCAGAACAGGCAGACTGATGAAATATAATGCTGAGGGGAGCAGCTGGTGAGACAGGAGAGGTCTGCTGCGCCATGTGGGATTCTCTCTGGCCGACCAGGAATTGAACCCGCACTGCAGATGCTGCGGACAGCTTCACAGCCCTGCGCTCAACCACCTGCACCACTGGGGAGGCCCTCTTGAACACTTTGATATGTTTTTTGGGGGCAAAATTGAATACCAATTCCTAAAAATTTAAAAAAAAATGAGTATAGGGATTGGATATTACTGGCTTTTCTATTGTACTCACAGATTCCTTTTCTTCTGCCTCCATAGGCCTCACACTTCACACAGCCCCATAGAGAACACTGCTGCCTGCCCTACAATTTGTTGTTTGTTTGTTTTTTTAAGTGAAGTCACATCGCATGAGGACATTATGTAATTTTCAGGTGTGCGTCGTTGAGAATCGACATGTGTCTATACCACATTAAGTTTACCACCAAATAGCTCATTCTCAATTACGGACTTGAGATGATCTCAGTGAAATTTCTCTAAGTTATGCTGGAGGCATGGAGACTTCATCTTTTCTTTTCAAGAAATCAGCCTGGCATGTGGTAGTAATTCTGCAAATGTATGCTAGGCTGGACTTAAATGTCACAATGCAAATCCAAGCTCTTTTCAAGCTATGCAATTTTGTTCAAGGTGCATAACCTCTGCAATCCCCATCTCTCATTTGTAAACAAGATGAATGACTTCTGCCACTTCAGAATTAATGTGGGAAGCCTATTATGCGATTCGTGTAAAAACCCAAACATAGTACTTGTCACAGAGGAAATAATAAACCGACAGTTTTGCTACCCTAAACAATTGACTAAATGTTGACTAAATGTTTCAGTGTGTTCTTTATCTCTTATGTTTTTCAGAGGTTTCTGCTGTTTTTGAGGCTGGCACTTCAGTTACTTACATGTTTCAAGAACCCTACCCAGTGACCAAGAATGTAAGCTTCTCATCCTCAGCAATTTATGCAGATACGTCTCTATCCAAGGAAAACATCGCATTTAGCTTTGTGACAGCCCAGGCACCCAGTCTCCTGCTCTATATCAATTCTTCTTCTCAGGACTCCCTGGCTGTTCTGCTCTGCAAGAATGGTAAGTGTCGATGGCATGAAACTTGGTGAAATGCCATCCTGGGCTGGAGCTCAGAACATGCCTTGCAGAACTTTGCATGAATTCAGCCTAAATTTGGTTCCACCTGGGCGGTTTATGTCCAGTAGCCAACCAAACCCTTGATTGTATTTCACATTTAGGAGTTGCAGTTGGTATTCAGACCCAGTGTCAAGTCATTGCTGATATCTTAAGTGCAGTGCTTTTAATTTACTTCAACTGTGTAGCAATAATTCCTTATTATTTATTCTGTGATGGGATACATTAAGTGTGTAGGAGAAGATTACAAACTATCTGAATTTCAGAAGGATACTCATCACATAGATGGTGTCGTCTTTGCTGTAGCCTCCTTTTCTGGGGGCAACTAGAACAAGTACCATAAATGCAGACTATATTAATAGACTCTGATTGTCTAGGTTTTGAAGAAATATATGCTATTCATAATCTTTTGGAATATGGAACTTTATTCTGAAGCTCAAATGTTGAAAAAAATTAGATAAGATGTAATCTGCAAAGATTAGAGTGATTAAGGGGCAGGAACTCACTTCAGATAAGGGATGTTGAAAGACATCTGTTTTGATATCAGACAATGTTAGGTTTTCTTCCTACATGACTTATTTTCACCAGGCAATATTGAGGACCCTTGATATATTCATGGAAAAGATCACTATGAGATCAGAATCCTAGGAGAAGGAACAATTGTTAGAAGCTAAGAGGGCAAAGATGTGGACATCTCTGTAGCTTTGATGAAGAAAAAGTGAGACCAAGTATGATCAAGAATGTCTTTCTCCTCTTGTAGTTTTCTGATGTAATGAGATGAGCCCAGGCTTTAGAACCATCTTAAACAGGTAGAATGTGGTGGGATTTAGAAGAAAGGACACCTAGAGTATGCAACAAACTCTGTATTCCCTCTAGACTTTAGATCCAGATTCTCGCAAATTGTCTTGTTTTCCCTTACTCTGTATGTATTCTTTGCTTCATCTGGTGGTGGTTGTGTTTTTGTTTTTTGGGTTTTTTTTTTTATCATTTATGGCATTGAAAATAAAGAATGATGAGGAGATCTACATCAAGGATCAAAACTAGTAGGTGTGTGGATTGAATCAGGACTGAATTATAATATTATAAAAATGGCCAACTGGCCAACTGGTCAATGGAAGAATGACTGAGTGAGCTCATGTTAGTTGCTTCTCTGTGCTGGCAGGAAATGTCCATGATCCTAAATCAATGACTCATTCATCACTGACTACTAAGATAAGAGTTCCCTAGAGCAATGGTGTGGGGTGTGTGTGTGTGTGAGAGAGAGAGAGAGAGAAAGAGAGAGAAAGAGAAAGGGTTGGGGGGAGGCAGACAGGGAGGGAGGGAGAGATAGAAAGAGAGAGTCTGAGGGTGAGGGCGAGAGTCATTCTATTACTAATTATGGCTTCTGCTACCATTTCCTTTAAATTAGACCAAGCAGAAAGGCCTGCACTTTTACATTTACACTGAAATCTAAGTTTAAAACATTTTAACAAATAGACAAGGCATGAGTTCCCTGCATTTAGCGAGGGTTAAAAAAATGCAAATGCCTATGGGGTCATGTAGAGATTTCAATGAAGTGAGGCTTCAGAGTATAAGAAAATAGGGGCTAGGGCAGAATTCTAGAATGGCTTCCAAGATAAATTAATTCAATTTATTGAAAACTCCACATGCTTCCAAAAATAAATAGCATTCTCAGATTAGCCCTTATGGTTAAGAATACAGAGTATGCTCCCATGTTCTAACAGGGGAACTTGAATCCCAGCTCAGATCCTAAGAAGATACAGAATTTAAACAAATCATTTAATATAATTATGCTTTAATTTCTACAACTATAAAATTCTTCATATATTAATAATATCAATTACACAGGGTTGCTGAGAGGATTAAATGTTGTGTACATTAGTAAGAATAGTGCTTGGTATGCAGTCTATAGAGTAAATCATATATACAGAGCATATAGAATATATAGGTCTATTGAGTACACTCTGTATGCCCTAGGTATATAGAGCAATATATATTAAATCTGATATAATTATTCCTGTTGTGCCTTATCCATATTCATAGAGTGTAACTGTATAGGATGAACGGGCTGTGGAACCATATCAAAAAGATGCTTTGGAGAAATATTGAATCTCAGGGCTTTGTCCCCATTCTACACTAGTCCAATCATATCATAGCCTGATGATCTAGTACAGGGGAAATATTTCTGGTTTCCTTTTATCTGACCTTTTGCTTTGTTTTTCTATATACCACATATAAATGAAATCATGCAGTATGTGTCTTTTTTCTTCTGTCTTCTTCTGTTTTGCATTATCTCCTCCAGTTACATCCATGTTGTCACAAATGATGAATTAATCTTTTTATTTTTTATTTATTTTTTTTGCAGAGTAGTGTTCCATTGTGTGTATAAACCACTTTTTTCTAATCCACGCCTCTTTCTTTGGGTATTTGGGTTTTTCCCATAAGTTGACTATTATAAAGAGAGCTGAAATTAACACAGGAGTGCATATATCCCTCTGAATTAATGTTTTTTTGTGTTATTTGGGTAGATGACTACGAGTGGAGTTGCTGGATCATATAGTAGATCTATTTTTATTATTTTGAGACCCCTCTACATTCCCACCAGCACCTGTTGTTTCTGGTCTTTTTTGATATGGGTCATTCCTATGGATATGAGATGGTTTTTCATAAGGTTTTGATTTGCATTCCCCAGTGATAAATGTTGAAGAGAATTTTTTTCATGTGTTTGATGGCCATATGCTTGTCTTCTTTGGAGAAATGTCTATTTACCATGAAGCCAATGTTACAGATGTTTTGCCTATGGCTTTGTGAACATTATATGGTTTTGGGTCTTACATCTATGTCTATAATCCATTTTGAGTAAATTTTTGTATAAGGTATGAGATGGATATCTAGTTTCAGTTGTTTGCATCTGACTGTCTAGTTTTCTAACACCATTTGTTGGAGATATTCTCCATCTCCAAAGTATACTGTTGACTCTTTTGTGATAGAATAAGTGTCCATATATGTGTGGAATTATTTCTTGGCTCTCCATTCTTATCCATTGGTCTATATGTGTTTTTGTTCCAGTACCAAACTGTTTAGATTATTACAGCTTTGTGGCATAGTTGGAAGTCTGAAAGTATGATACTACAACTCTTGCTGATTTGGTCAGAATTGTTTTGGCTATTTGGGATCTTTTGTGGTTTCATATGAATTGCAGTCATGTTTATTTTGGTATCTTTGAATAATGCTATTGGAGACTTAATAAGGATTGCATTGAATATAGCTTTGGGTAGTGTGGCTATTTTAACAATATTATAGATATTTTAAAATGATTTTTACAAAATAATTTTATAAGAAGCAGTTGTATTTATATGTACAATAAATAATTTAGAAGAGAAAGAAAGCAAGAAAGCAATCCTAGTCACAATTACAATAAAAAGAATTAAATGCCTAGTAGTGAACTTAACAAAGGAGATGAAGACCTCTGAATTTCTTTCCAAGTCTTATATTTTGAGATTTTGTTTTCTAGTGTAGTATTACATTTATATTTCATTTTCCAAGAGACTCTTTGCAGACTTTGAAATGCTTCTATGAGGAACTACGTTGTAAAGAGCTAGGGATATTTCTAATGTGATGTTGGTATATTTCAGTGAAAAAAAATCTTTGAAAATATAAATGGAAATTAAGAATACTTGTAGAATGAAAAAGAAATTAGGATAGAAAATAATAGTTAACTGAAGAAAATTTTCCTCTTGAAGGGTTTCATAATAAGATTGATGCACACCTCTCTGAGATGAAGTTAAGAGGCTTCTGTTAGTAGAGGTTTCTTGACCTTCTTTTGATTTAATATACCTTTGGGAATATAGTAAAAATTATGAGAGGGTCACTCTTAAATGGAGTTCTTTTTGTTCTCCAGAAAAAAGAAAATACCCATAACCATGCCATACACAGTGACTCGAATTTCAGCTCTCTGGGGTAAGAAACCAGGGGTGGAGACAGATGAAGGGAATGTGTAAATACTGAACAGCAGCTTTGGCTTGCAAATATATTCAATATGAATGTCTAGGCCAGAGGCAAGAAGAACAATGTGACTCAAAGCAGCTCGTGTGTGCCTCGTCCTAGCAGGCATTTGATCTGGCAGGCTTAGAATTCTCCTTTGCCCTTTGTCATTTTTCTTGAATTTTCTCCAGCAGAGACTTATTCAGGTTAAGCTACTGCTGTCTTTTCCAAAACAAGTCCTTCTTCCTAAATGAAGAAAATCATTTTAATTTCTGGGATGGAAGAATGGAGGCAGAAAGGGAGGCTTTGGGGTTCAGGAAGTCCTCAGGAATGAGAATGTGGTTGTGATTCCCTGTCTGGGGCTTTGGGAGACTGGGCCTTCTCAAAGAGATGGCAATTGGAGGAAAAGAGCATTGAAAGGAGGAGACAAGAACATTCTGAAAATACACAAGACTCACAGCATTTTATCAAGTGACCACTTTGCCTTCTCCTTAGTACTAGGGATTTCAAACTCAAACTCCTTTGAGTTTGTCATTGGATAAATATTTCTGGATTATCTACCATGTGATGGACACTGATTTCATGGACTAGTGAGGAAAACCTATGCAGAACCCTGATTTGCTTTTAAGAAATCTAGTCTAGGGACAGAAACATAAATAAAAGTGACAGTGTGTCATACATGTTAGAATAGAGTCTCTCCCAGGCCGAGTGAAACACATAAGGAAGGAGTGGCTCATTCTTTCTGAGATGGTAGGTCAGATAGGGCTTCATGGACACAGTGACCATTAGTTGGGTCCTAAAAGATAATTCAGTGTTATTCTGAGAGATATTACATGTTTTTTAAAATGAAGTAAGATGTTCCCGTGATCAATCCTCTTTTTTGCCATCTTATTTCCATTGCATATGAAATATATATTTTTCCCAGTCAATTCTTCTTGCTCCTCTTCATCATCTGTCCTCCT